TCTCTAACCCCCAAGGCTCAGAAAGATACAACTGGGAGCAGGAAGAATGTAATAGCTGGAAGACAAGGAGGAGTGCTGTGAAATGTTGTCATTTAAACATGACAGTTGCACTTGTGAACTCAATGTAACTATGGTTACCTACGTAAGACCTACACAGATCAAGTCAGCAGTAGTCAGCATTCCAAAAAGAGGCCACTAATTGGAACCCAGTGGATACCCATCCAAGAGAAAGGGACTGTACATGAATATAGGATAGGGACACACTGGGGTTGGGGTCCAAAGAGAGTTGGAGAGGGGAGCTGGGGAAAAATATAATCAATTGTATACATGTATGCAACTGTCAAAAAGAATAAATATTTTTTTTTTAAAGTTTTTTTTTTATTTTTTTTATTTATTTATTACATGTACGTACACTGTAGCTGTCTTCAAACATCCTGTAAGAGGGCATCAGATCTCATTGTGGATGGTTGTGAGCCACCATGTGGTTGCTGGGATTTGAACTCATGACCTCTGGAGGAGCAGTCAGTGCTCTTAACCACTGAGCCATCTCACCAGCCCTAAATATTATTTTTTAAAATAAAAGTATTGGGTGGTGAGAACTGATGTTCCATTGAAATGGAACCCAGGAGTGTCTGGCTGTATTTATATCAAAATTTAAAATTAAAAAAAATATAAAAACATGAGATCATTATATAAAGATAAGATGATAAAGAATATGAAACAATCATAAAATACACATGTATCAAACACCAACTTCACTATTTCATGTTCACTTATGAACAGAACTGCAAGAAAACAGAGACATGAGAGTTGAAGTATGCTGTAGACCAAATGCACCTAACAGACATTTACAGACTATTTCATTCTACTTCCGAATTCACATTCTGCTCATCAGCACAGAAAACATTCACCAAGATAGCCTATAACATATTATACCACAAAATACTTCTCTACGAAGTGGAAAAATACAAAATTATGTATTTTCTCTGATCACATGAATTTTTTTAAAAGAACTACAAAAATTATGAATACATAAAAATTAAATAACATGTCCCCAAAACTTTCTAGCTTCAAGAATATATGTGAAACTCACACATTTCTTGAAATAAAATGGAAATATAACATTACCAAAACTTATGTGATACAGCAAAAGCAGTATTAAGTACTTATATCAAAAAAGTAAAAACATTTTACATAAGCAACCTAATGATGGACCAGAAAAAACAAACGAGCTCAAACTTAGTAGACTGAAAGAATAACGATAAGATTTAAATTTTTAAAATGATATTCACAAAATACTTTAAAATATAAACAGTAAGTTTTATGTGTACTAAATAGAAGATCTCAGTAAATGAAGATATGAAAAAGGTGGTATTATAACAAATACCACAGAAACACCAATGGATCATTAGGAACTATTATGAACTACTCTATATGCAACAAAAGGCAAACAAACTGTAAAATCTGCATGAAAAAACTCCTGAACACATATATCCCATCCATAAAAAGCTGATAGCAAGCAACAAAACTGATTCAGAATGAGACTTGATCTCTACCTTTCACCAATTAGAAAAACAATTCAGAAGAATTACAAAAACTATGATTTATAAAACTATGATACTATGAGGAAGATATAGAGTAATTGCTTTCGGATAATAATATACACAAAGACTTTTGTATATGACATCAATATCACTAATAAAAAAAAAAACAGAATTACACCTTTATGAAAACCATCAGTACAGTAAAGAGGAAGTCTACAAAATAAGATTTGCAAACTATTAATCCAATAAGGAATTACTATCTAGGCAAAAGTATCACTTGAGCCAAAGTATTTGAAGCAAGCCTGCTAACATCCACAGACACTGTCTCAAAAGGAAAAAGGAGAAAGAAAAATATTTCCAACTGTAGATACAACATGCAACAAAAGGAAAAAATATATGGCCTTAAATGCTTATATTTGAAAATAATAAAGTCTAATATTAATGATACAACATAAGATAGAAGAAAACTTAAAATGATAGTTAATACAAGTACAAACAGACTCAAAATATATCAAAATTACAGTCACTTTTAACAAATACACCTTTTATTCCCCTCTTTTTATTCAAAACTAAGTTTAAAAAAAAAAAAAAAAGCTGGATGTCATAGTGTCCTGGTAATTAACCAACTGCTATACAAGGCAGGAGAATTTCAAGCTCAAGTTCAGTTTGGTTCAGTTTGTAGTGCTGGAACAGCCTAACAAAACTGATCATTAACTATTAGAAATTCTCAATCATGATGCTAAAGAGATGGCTCAGCTGTTAAGACTATATACTGCTCTTGCAGAGGACCCAACATGGGCCATTCGACAACCACCAGTGACTCTAGATGCAGAGGCTTCAGTACCTCCCCTGGCCTCCACGGGCGCTGCATTCACAAGCACAAACTCACACATAGACACACACAAATACACATAATTAAAACTATTTTTTAATTACCAATAATTATTTTATTACTATAAATATATTGAGAAAGTATTTTCCAAAAGATTATACACAAGTAATGATAGTTTTACCAAACTATTCTACCAAACTTCCAGGGAACAAATCCACTCAATCACAATACAATTTATGCGAATACAGAATTTTCCCAATGTTTTTTGTTTTTCCTTTGCTGTTGTCTAGTTTGTTATTGTTGCTGTTACTGTATTTCTGAAAAACAATCTCACTATATACATGCCCTAGCTGGCCTGCAACATATGTCACGGTACCAGGCTGGCTTGGAACTCACTGAAATAGATCAGCCTACCTCTGCCTTCCAAGTACTGGGAGATTAAGTGCAGAAAACACCATACCCTTAAGTAAGAATAATGAACAGGACAAGTTCAAACTAGTTTAGTCTCAAACTTTAAAGAAAAAAAAATTCCTTAAAAGGTGTTTCTGGGAGCCAAGTTCTATGCTTTCTTAGCGCACTGCCCTTGTTTAGACCTTTATCTAACTGTTTCTACTAGAAAGTTTCTGGAACTGTTTATGCAGCCAACTAAATAGGTCAAGGCAACCACAGTGTGACGACCATGTGATGTTTCCCAAGGAAAACGTAACTAGCTTTATTCAACTTGCTACAGTATTTGCTACTTACTTGAAACATGGTAAGCCCTAGCCAAGACTAGCAATTACTCAATTTCACCCACTATGCATAAAATAGGCTCTTTAGTAGAATAACTCAACTCGAACACACAGAGATGCGTCTCCCTCTGCCTCTGAGTACTAGAATTAAAGGCTGTGCCAGCTCTCTTCACAGTTCACAAACACCATCAATCAGAGGGGCTGCTCATTCACACTGTATCTCAGAATGCCAATAAAACACCTCAGCTACTTTTGTTTTCTTTCATTATATGTAAAATACTACAATGTATCTAAAAGAATGACTTAGAAATCATTTCAAACTTTATGTTCCTGTATATATAAAGCTGTCATTTGTTAAGCACATTTCATTCTATCACCTGCTTAAGAAAAAAAAAATTGTTAAAAGGCAGGAATGGCTCTAGCTTTCTTTCCTAAATTTCCTTGCCCTTCTATACATAATCAGTTGAGCAGAGAATGAAACTGAATGAAAACTAAGCAGATCCTCAAAAAAGAGAAAACTACAGAGTACAGGTTGAACATTCCTACTAAAAATAGAAAATGAGAATTCAGAAATGCAGCTAGAAATGGTGATACATACATATATAATCTCAGCACTTGAGAGTTTGAGATGTTAACCCTAACTACATTAAAAAGGAAGAAGATGAAGAAGAAGAAGAAATCCATACTCTTACTGTCAGGTTATGTGTATAGTGTGCAAAAACCACTAAATGAATTATACCCTCAAAAAAAAAAAGAAAAAAGAAAAAGAAAACTTGTTACATCTGTATGAATACTAAAAACTCAAGAGATTTAAATTTACCACAGAACTAACTGAAGTTTAATAAAAGGAATGTTTCCACAGGCAAGAACAAAGCTAAGTTACAATTGGTAAAGAATATCTAACAACAGATTAGATACCTGAGAAGATGTTTTTTAATTTCTTAATTCAAATTCTTATTTGTGCAATTAGCACGTAACTGAGTGTTGCTTTTCTTTACTCTAGTCTGACAATCTTGATCATCTGGTCAATGAAGAGATTGAATGAGTGTGTGTTAGGAGGGAAAAAATGGAGGAAGACCAGCCAAACAGTAGTTACTTTGACTTTCGGTTTTGTTTTTGATGTTGCTGCAGATCAAACCCACTGAGTTAAATGCTCATCCCTAGAACCCCTAGTTTTTATACCTAGTTTTATAGACTGTAATAAAATAAAGGACAGTAAAATTTACAAATAATCAGAATGCCACATTCCTCTGGTAATATAGTAGACATCTTTGGGGATATGGAGGTTAACATGAAAAGTCATATAAATATTAGTATTTGTTATTTCAGGAATTTACTTGGCACAAAGATTAAGTCTTCTAGGTTCAATATTAAATTGCTAATTTATCACTAATGGGCTCTCTATCAATAAATCAGAATGTAGAAAATGACTGTTCTGCAATTAGAATTATACTTATTAAAAAGAATCATATAAATTATATAAATGTATACATAAATTATATAAAAATATTTTTATTAAAGAAAATTATAATTATAAATAGGTTAGAAATTCATGCATCTAAGATTATAAAACTGATAAACATTCTTTAACTTTTCAATCACAAATAGCCTTGCCCCATCATTCTACCTCTGTCTAGATTACTTTTTTTAAACTATGTAAGATTTAGCATATCATTATAAAAAATAAAATGAAGCTGGAAGTGGTGGTTCACATCTGTAATTCCAGCACTTACCTCAACTATTACATTTCCAGTGCCTTTAACAAATCCTCGTCACATTCCCAGTCATACTAAAACTGACCTGTACCCTTAACAAAAATGATCTTTAAAGCATCATAACACTTCAATACAGAGTATTAAGTTATCTTTTTTTATTTTTTTTTAAGTCACTCACCTGTTAAACCTAGAGTTTGTAGCTGGAAGAGCCGGCCAAGTTCATAAGGCAAAACCCGTAAATAATTGTCATTTAAAAGCAATTCCCTGTTTTTTTAAAAAAAAAAATGTAAATTTGAGTATAACATGCTTTATTAATACCTACATTTGTCATTCTTTGTCTCTCTTCTAATACATGATCAGTGATATTTATATTCAAGGCATTTCTTCACACTAATCCCAAAATGCTGCACACTATTATTAAAGTGCTATCATTACTAAATATTTCTATGACTCACTCATTCTATAGCACAGATTAAATTCAGAGGTATACAAATTGCACATAATGCAAATCAGAGTGACATGTGTTATTAGCATCCGAAACCAAGCTTAATTTATAGAAGAAATTAATTTTTTTTCAAAACACGGTTTCTCTGTGTAGCCCTAGTTATTCTGGAACGTGCTCTGTAGATCAAGCTGGCCTTGAACTCACAGAGATCCTCCTGCCTCTGCCTCTTCAGTGCTGATATTAAAAGCATGTGCCATAGCCACTCAGCATGAAGAAAGTAAATCCTTAAACTTGAAGATTAAACTACAATTAGCAGCCAACTGTCTATATGCCATCTACTGTAACTAAATCATGTCAAAGTAACTATGAGAAAAAATTAAAAAGACAAAGAGAAATTCAAAACAAGACATTATATCACAGAAGCTAATGATAATTAAATAGAAAACATAAAAAGTGGGCCAGCAAGAGGGCTCAAGTGGTAAAGAGTAAAGACATCTGATGTCAAGCCTAACGACCAAAGCCTGATCATCAAGACCCCACAGTGGAAGGAAAGAATCAACTCTCACAAAGTTGTCCTCTGACTTCCACATGCAGATAGCTGACTTGCGCACACCCACACACATAAACAAAAACATAAATGTTATTACAAAAATGGGAAAATATGAAAAGGCAAAACGTTCTCTGGAGAACAATCACTAACACAGAATACATAACCTAAGGCACAAAATAAAGAAAAGACAGGAACAGATCAGTAAAGACAAACAAAAACAGAAAAATAACAACAGATAAGATCTAAGTTTGTAGCTGAAATTTTGGACACATTATAAAAAAAATAATAACACCTTCATTAATAAAGGACAAAAAAGTAAGAATTCATATAATCAGTTAGGGGGAGGTAAAAGAACAAAAAAGTAACACAATCGTAATTAATTTTAAACATGTAAAAGCAACTTTTTAAAAACCCTATTATTCAATAGGTAAGATAAAAAAAAAAAAAGAAGCAATTCTTGTTTTGGAAACAGTTAATAAGATCCTAAAATGTTTCTTCCTGTAGGAAATGTCGCCAGTGTTGTGGCACACGCCTGCTGTCCCCAAACTTAGGAGGCTAGAGCAGGACTGCGACAAGCTGAGGCCAGCTAGGGTGCCACAGGCAAGACCCTGTCTCAAGAATGAATGTCTTAAGATTTTTAAACTATAAATCCATTTTAATCAATTGTTTAGGCTTCAATAAAGAATTATAATATAAAAATGTAAACATATACTTTGTATTTTGTTCCTAAATGTTTCATTTATAAGCAAATCATATTTTCTGAAGCATTTCTGATTAGTTTTATCAGATTTGACTCTACAGTAAGACTTTTAACTCCCCCATCTCAAGTCTGTTAAACTCGTAGCAGGAAGCTACAACTCAAAGGAAAAGAAATATTAAACAGAGGCCAACTCACTCACTCGTGCTTAACAGCATTTCTATCTTTTGATCTTCACAGTCACAGAAATCACACCATAAAACAGCATCCCATAACTTTCTTATTTGATCCATTTGTAATTTTATTTAATGAATCATGTCTTTAATGTTTCCTCACCTGAGAGACACCATGTTTCCTAGTTCTGCTGGTAAACTTCTGAGTTTATTGGAGGACAGATCCAGGTAGAGCAGATTGTGAAGCTTGGCAATATCCGGTGGGATGCGAGCAAGGTTATTGTCATTTAGGTGCAGTGCTGTCAAGTGCGTCAATGACCAGAGTGATGTACTTAAGCTCCGCACTCTACCTAAAAGGCAAAATACTTAAAGCATAAACCCTAGACCCAGGACAAAATCTGAATCCCAAAATGATCAACAAACTTTAAATAAAAAATGAATTATTATTATTTAAAACCAATCTTGGATTAGCCACCAGGAAAGTGTCCCTAAAGAAAACATCTTCCTTAAACTTCTGATGTTACAGAGATTAACAACTATAGTTTAAGATTTTATATTAAATGCAACATAATCAAGGAAATAGTTTTCACATCAAAGTCTGTGAGCAGCAGGTACAAAGCATGTACTAAATCAGAAAACCTGTTTCAGAATTCTAATTTTTACCACTTATTAGCAATATAGGTCTGGGCAAATCAGCTAGCAACAAATTTTATAAAATAGGGTGCTATATTTTAAGTTGCTAGTATTTTTTTGTTTTGTGATGGAATCTCATGTAACCCTGAATGGCCCCAAACTTGCTATATAGCTGAGGATGGATCTTGAAAAATTCTGATCTTCTTGCCTCTACCAAGTGATAGGAATAGAGGCATGCACCCCATACCCAGTTTATTTGGTGCTGGGAATTAACCCCAAGCCAAGATTTTATGAAAACTAGACAAGCACTCTATCAACTGAGAGACATCCAGCCCTGATTATAATTATTTATTATAATGAATAACTTACATAAAGATTATTTTACAAAATTGTATAAATGCAAAGTGGTAATTTTAAGATTTATTTTACCTTTAGATAAGCATCTATATATATAAAGTTTGTATGGGTATGTGCCCATGAATGCAGGTGCTTTCAGAGGCCTGAACTGTTAAAGATTCTCAGGAGCTGAAGTTAAAGTTGCTTAGAACCAAACTTGTATTCCTTAGAAGAACAGTGTTCTTATTAGCTGAGCTATCTCTCCAGACCAAGAACTAATTATTTAAGCATATTATCATTTTCTAAAAAAAAATTTAGATGAGAGATGGCAATGGAAACTAAAGAACACAAAGTTTTTAAGGGACAATGTTATCTTGTTTATATAACTAAACACAACCGGTTTCTTTCTACTACAGACTCTTTCCTGCTGTATATAATCAAATACAGTGTCAACTAGGATTTTGCATCTGAACAGGAAAACAAAGTATTCAATGATGAGGCTATGGGTAGGAGAGAAACTTCCATTAACTTAGGACTTAACACACCAATTTCAATTGGGAGGAATCCTTATCCTCAAAGGACTTTGGGAATTTTAGGTTGATACAACTAAAGAAGAATACAGGATATCTGCTGGGTAAAAGCCAAGTATGCTACTAACCATCCTATACTTAACACAAAAACCCTCCACCACAAGGAATTGAATATAGGGCCCAAAGGACCAGTAAACCAAGGCTGAGAAATCTTAAACTAACAGGATGCAAACTGCTCCCATCAGAATGATGAGCATTCAGCCATCTATCCAGTTTCCTTTCAGTTGTATATACAAGTTAAGTCTTGCTGCTGATACTGCAATACCAATGGGGGCGGCATACTGACCACATTCTACATATAATCTGTACTGTGGCAATTCATAGAAGAAAAATAGTTATATATTTTTAATAAACTTAATTTTATAAAAATATTAAGTTGTCAAGATAATGTAGGATTCTTATATGTACTTTGCTTAAATTCTCTAACATTAGAGTCTTATATTCCATGGTGTATTTATTAAAACTAAGAAGCCAACATTGATATAGTAATAGTAACAGAACTTCAAGCTTTATTCAGAATTTACCTGTTTTTATATCTTTTTGTTCTATAATTCAAATCGGGCCTTGGCATGTCTTAACATTCCTCTGACTTAATGCACTTTTTGTCTTGGTTTTTCACAATCTTGATAACTTTAAGTGTATCAATTAGGTATTTTATACAATGTCTTCAGTTTTAGTTTGATGATATTTTTTTCATTTTCAGAAAGGGGTTCCAAATTTTTCAAATCATACTTATTCTAAACATGCCCTATTCATAGCTTAGCAGGTGTCTGTTACACAGACAGAGTCATCTAGGTTTCCTTCTTTGCCAGCACTGAGATAAAAGGAGAATAGCAAAGAGTTTCATTTGCAAAAATTACTCTGGAAAAGTCAAGACTTACTACTATTTTATAGGACCTAATTTTACTCAGAAATCAAACTCTGAATATCTTTAAATGTCAATGGCTACCCCTGCTCAAGACAATCTCAAAAAAAAAGAAAATATTTTATAAGATCTAAAAAGAAGTGTCTCAGGATTCTTACATATTTCCAATTAGTTCTTTCAGTTAAAACACAACAACAAAGAGCCTATAAATATAGCAATACTCTTTACAGTTGTAGCTATTATATTCCAGATAAAATGCTTCAGATTCCACTCACCCGAGATTTCTAATTCTGCCCAGTGAGATTTTTTCCCATTGGCTACCTCTTCTGCTGACATGATGGTGTAAATTCTGCGAGGATCTGGAGGATCATATTTTTCCTTTGGCATCCCTATTAGTCTGTGGGGGGAAAAGGATCATTAATTATTACAGTCAGGGCCAGTAAGATGGCTCAGGTAGTTACAGTGCCTGTTGCATAATTCTAATGATCTGAGTTCAAGGCCAGGAACTACGATGAAAGATCACCAACTCTGAAAAGTTGTCTTGCGACAATCCTCCCCCAACACACACACACACAACTTTTTATTAAAAATTATTACTATTATTATAGTTATTTGAGGAAGTTGGTCATTTTGGAGGAACGGGGAATCAATGTGTGTGGAGAATATGAGCAAATAAAAATTAAATTAAAACTAATATAGTATTTAAAAAAAGAAAACATGCTAAGTTTTCTTTTTCTCTCCTTTTACTGTAATGCTAAGCTTTTTCTCTCCTTTTACTGTAAGACTATCACAAATACTCAAAGGCACTCTACTAGAACTTCATCTGTAAGTCTAGAGCAAGCAGACTTGCCATTTCCAGGACCACTCACCTGAGTAATGATTTTACATCAAAGGAGTACCATAACCTGTTCCATTCTCCCTTTCCTGTCTCTTGCCAGGGAATCTCAGAACCTAGCTACAGATGAACCCCATTCTCAGGTGTATGAATCTCCCTCCTCTGATAAGTGGACTCTGATTCTCTTCAGAGATCCCACCAAGTCTCCGTTGCTATGTCCTGAACTCACTAAAAGCCTCCACCATGCTGCTGCCCTTCCAACAGTGGCATTAAAAACTCTTCTAAGAAATGCCTTGCTTCCCCCCAGTGTCTGTCTTGGTGTACTCTTGAACCCCCCTACCAAGCTAGTTAAGTCATTTTATATTCTCACTTGAAGAAAAACACTACAATATTCTAGGCTTTTGGAGAAACGCATTAACAGATGCCTAAGGGAAAATGTAAATAAGCAACCATACTAGATAGATTCTTCAGAGAATGTTGTGTTGCTCCCCAGTTCCTTACCCTGTGCTAAACAGCACTACTTTCCTAGAAAAGCTGATCTTACAACTAGTTTCCTTAATGGAACTCTATCTAGTCTAAGAGAATCGTGTAATTCTAACCTCCCATTTCAGTGACACTCAAATATCTCATACCTATGACTAACAACACATGATCTTTCCCCATTGACAATGGCATTAGTTTAGACAATGATTGATTGATTCTATGTTTGTGGATGAAACAAGATCCTCGTTCCTGCTGATCATAAACAAAGTAGAACATAGTCCAGATTGTTACACATAGCCTTCCAACTACAAGGAAAGCCGACTTCATAAGGCAGTCTAGACAGACAAAAGAAAAGGCAGATTTCTCAATAAATCATACAGGCAATACCTGCACACAGCAACCTGAGTTTTGTCTTCTGTTACTTGCCATCAACACATCCTAATCATGGTAAATGCATAACTTGATTTGTCATAGTCTGTCTTAATTTAAACCTGTTGTTTTGAGGTAATTATTGTCTCTCCTCTTTACTCTCAAAAGTACTTAACTAGACAAACTACAGAACCATCCCAACTGAGAAAAAAAAATCATGTGACTGTTTTCATAGTCACAGCACAATCAATGGCAGCTAAATCAATCATAAAACCACTTCAAATAAGCTAAATATGAAAAAAGCCCTAAAAATAACTTTATTCCAGGGGTCTAAAACTACTGCTTTGATAACAAACAGAAGATAAAATCCACTTCAGATCATTCAGATCAAATAGCAAATGACAAAGTCATGTTTGTCAAATTAAGTATCCTTATATGTTATCCTTATCACAAATTACATATAAAGTTACAGTTGACTTAATGTTTTATTTTGTCAGTAACAGATCTAATCCAGGGACCTGGCATGTGCCATGTAAGATGTCTACTACTAGGCTGCATCCTCAGCCCCATGCTGATTCTTTGCTCAGATTTCTTTGTTCTTTCTCACATGTGCCCTTAAACCAAGTTTCCAAATCTATATCTATTTCTAAGTTAAGAAATAGTATTCCAAATATAAGAGTTACTTTCAGAAGGTCTTAAACTTGTTATATATCAAAAACAAAATGAAATAGTATTCATCATGTACCAAGAAATCAAAACTAGTTTTTAAGATCACATCAAAATCTCACATCAGTTTCCCTTTACTTAAAGGAGGGCAAGTTTTCCTCATTTGTTTATTTATTAACAATAAAGTTCCCCAGTTAACTCCAGTTCCAGTTAACTCTTCAATTCTAAACTTATCATATTGTACTATTTTGAGTTACAATGTTAAAGTAGAAAAAAATCCTTCTGGTCAAGAATCCCTGGCCTAGGTGGAGATCTAACATTTTAGTTGAGCCAAGTCGATCACCTGGCCAAGGGACCACACCTACAAAGGCAGGCTCAACTTAAACTATTTTAAAGAGATAGAGAAGTAGATGGAATAAACTAAACTATAAATTAAAATAAATTATACTTTTCAATTCCTGCTCCCCACCACTTGCAGTGCTATAAGCTACCATAAGTTTGACCAGTCTACCTAATTTCCTGAGGCCTGAGTTTTAGAAAGGTATAACTGTCACTTTCTTTCTCTTGGATGCTACCCAGAATGTAAATATGCATTCTGATACTTTGAATTTCCTTCCTCTTTTCCCTAAAGCTCTCCTCTCTGCCATGTGGTTGCTTGGCATGTGTTTGACATCTATGGTAGCTTTAAGGACATGGCTTTTTCCTTCCTTTCTGTGGGCAATTGCAGAGGATTCACAGCTTGCCTGCCCTGGGATGTTTTTCCTTTAAACTCTAATAAAGTTGCCCTTGAGTTTCCATTTAAGTTCATCCTTAAATTCTTTTATTTATGAACTCAAAAGAGGCTCCTGATTTCCTTTGTATTATCTGGCAACCCAGCTGGAACCTAAAACCCTAGTAATAATAATAATACATCCTATTTTTCAATAAATGTAATAATATTTATAAAGCACAAGAAAATAACATTTTTCACCAAGAGAAAAACTTGATTTTCTACTACATTTGTCTTATTTTAGCACAGGATCCTTATCTACAGTGAGGATGAATGAAAAGCATGTTTCATTAGTGTTATATCATTGTAATAAAACTTAACAGGAAGGGGATGTGATCAATGTTACAGACTGTGCAGGTTATATTTTTACCAATTTGACATAAGTTAGATAGAGTCATCTGAAAAGAAACCTGTTGAGAAAATGCTTCTGTGCTGGTTGGTTTTTATGAACTTGACATATACCTAGACATATTTGAGAAGAGTACATCTTAATTGAGAAAGTGCTTCCTTAAGATTGTCCTTGTAGGCAAGTTTGTAGGGCATTTTCCTAATTAATGATAGATGTGGAAAGATTTAGCCCATTGTAAGTGATGCTATCACTCCTGGTTCTGGGGTATATAAAAAGACAAACTGAGCAAGCCAGGAGGAACAAGCCAGTAAGCAGTGTTACTCTATGGTTTGCACTTCAGTTCCTGCCTCCAGATTCCTTTCTTGAGTTCCTGCCCCAACTTCCTTCAATAATGACTGTAATGTGGAAGTATAAATAAAATAAACCCTTTCCCTCCCAAGCTGCTTTTTCATTCATGTCATTTTATCACATCGGTAGAAACCCTAAGACTGCCTCCATGAGACTGCCTGTATGTAAGTCTGTAGTGGGTATTTTCTTGATTAATGACTGACATGGAAGGACCCAACATAGAAGCATGCTACCCTTGAGCTGGTAGGAGAAAGCAGGTTGAGTAAGCCAAAGAGGGCAAGCCAGTAAACTACATTCTCCCTGGTCTGTGCTTTAGTTCCTGCCTCCAGGTTTCTCTTTGAGCTCCAGCCCTAGCTTCCCTTAATAATGTGAGGTGGAAATATATAATCAAATAAACTTTTTTTTCCCAAGTTGCTTTTGGTCTTTAATCAATATTTCATCTTGCAAGCATATTATTAAACAAAAATATAAATAATTAAAAGTAATCATTCAAACATAGTTTAAATCCCTAAATGTGATGCTGGTTATGTTTTTTAGTAACTGCGCATACAAGTGAGTCTAGGGTTTAAATACTGAGTGATGAGGAGCTTCCATCCAAATAAAGAAAAATGCTTTATTTTAGAAAACATTACAGCTAATTCTTCATATTTTCAAGATGAGAAATTATTTTTAGTATTGTTTTAAGGAGTTTACACAAGCCCTTACTATCTCAAACTGGCCTCAATCACAGTACAGTCCTGGATGCCTTATATTCATTAATACGTCTGATTAAGCCTTCCAAATGCAGGGATTATAGACATTGCCATCATACCTTACTGCAGAGGGTTTTGCTTTGTTTGTATTTATTTGTTGTTGTTCTTACTTTGTATATTTTGCTCTTACAGTGGTGCATATCAAACTCAGTCTCATGCATGCTAAGCAAGAGCTTTTACCTCTTGAGGTGAGATGTTAAGTTGGTTTTCCCAAGTTTCCAATTTTTACAGTATCTTACATCAATTTCCAAAGGATAAATAACATTAGGGAAACCTGGAGGTCCTGATTATGTAACAAAATAAACTAAAAGCCCCTTAACAACAATTTATCTTAAGTCTTTAAACCTTATAAGACACTAGGAAAAACACTGCATATGGTTCTCTAAATATTAACTACACAAGCCACTTTGAATTTCACCTGTTTTGTCCTTTACTATACCACCTGTGCAGTCTTCAGAAACCCCTTGTAAAAGTTCTGAAATTAGTCATTTGTCCTGAATAATAAAGTTTACTACTGCTTCTTAATTCTCATGTGAACTATACTCAATCAATTTAATTTATTCAAGAGGTATTTAGATGCTGAACACAGGAGTACACATCTGTAATTCCAGAACTCAGGAGACTGAAAAGTTTGAAGGCAGTTGTTTTGTTTTGTTTTTCGAGACAGGGTTTCTCTGTGTAGTTCTGGCTGTCCTGGAACTCACTCTGTAGACCAGGCTGGCCTCGAACTCAGAAATCCGCCTGACCCTGCCTCCCAAGTGCTAAGATTAAATCAAAGGCGTGCGCCACCACTGCCCGGCTGAAGGCAGTTGACTAAGTAGAAGCA